ACGATATCTAATTTATACATGATAGATTGAAATGTCCGCATAGGAATTCGTACTTGTGCGGAGCGTTAATGGTAGACACTAACTGCTGGGATTCATGAAGAGTGGCATCAGGCGGTCTATAAATACAGCCCAGTAGCCGATCATAAGCTGTAAAGTCAACCATAATGAATCATACCATTCGTTGAAGGCTAACTGCTCAGCTGCGATTGCTGTTATGTTATGCTTATATTGATGGCACATCCACCGCCGCGTCTGTGCAGACGATACTTCCGAAATCATTGATGACCCAAAATATCCATTCGAAAGTCATCTATAGCTGATGCACACCATGCTTCGGTGATACAAACAATGTGAGTGGTTTTAAGGAACACAGACGTTGTAAGGATATCCAGTTTTGATAGTAGCGAACGATTTATTATAATATTAGATTTAAGTAAAAGGTATGACGTAAGATACACAAATTTGGTTATATCACACCCTCTGTTTTCTTGGACTTGGGTGGTGTGCCTTGATGAAATAACTGACTTTTGTGGTGTGTTACGATGTCCTAGCTCCATCGAAGAAAATGCTGGAACAATTGGATCATCATTGGGTTTTGTATGGTCGTATGTGGAAGCCATATTTTCGGGGGCGGATGCCGGCCTAAACTAGGGTCACTTGGCAAGTAGTGAGAATATTCCGTAGGAGGAAGTGGCGGTAGTGGGTAGGCTAGAAACTGTGACCTCCATTGGAAGGTAGTGTGGATATGAGGTCGTATGCCCCCATACGTATCTTCAGGCCCGTCATGAGTTACTGCGTTCTCCCATTTGGGAGGTTGCCATCTCCGGTTGGGAGAGGTAATTAGAAGGAAATAATATAATGGCTTATAGTAGCTCGTCGTTAGTATTTACTCCGAATCCGTTACAACAGCATACCTTGAGGTACGACAGAGTAGAGTTTTCCTCATCTGATTTAATGAGCGGCTCTTATAGTTTAAGGCAGTCTGTTTAAATGTTATCCGTTGTTAGGCATTTCCAATAAATGTTGTCGGGATACGGCACTCCACGTTGCCATCTATGCTTAGTTGGGTTGAGTGCTAGTTGTCCCGGTATGCAGTAAGAAGTAGCTTATTTAAATTCTCATTATTAATACTCTCAAATTTTGCATTCTCGTTCTGAGTTGGTGCCACATAATATACGAAGTAGTTGAGTGCAGAAAGGGTCCATGATCTTGCATTAATTTCTGCGGAATTTTCAATAATACTTATAACATGCCTGGGTCCAGTCTGTTCTGCACAGACCGGGTCAGTATTATCATACGCTTACCCATCGTGTGTCGGTTGGTGGACTGGATGCTTGTGAGCATCTTTAGATAGGGGCGGTGTTGGTGATCTGTCAAGGTCCACATCGTTGCCAGTATGATTAGCCTCGGTGCAAGAAATACGAGCGTCTGAATGATTCGTCTTACGTGAACACCGCATTTGTAGTGGCGTTCGGTCGCTTCTGATCAGAATCTTCTTAAGGTCAGCTCGTATTGCAATGAACCGTTTGCTATGTGTAAATGTTCAGTCATTGACTCATCCGGGAATTCAAGGAGGTTGGAGCATTACCTCACCGTTGACTTCTTCTGGAATCTGAGGCATATTTAGTTAGAGCAACTCTAGTTGCATGCGGCGAGCAAAATATTTCTGACTTTAATCTATGCTCAATCGGTCAGGTGTGATAAACACGATCACTTTGTTTACTCTGTGTATACGTTCCCGAGTGTTAGTCGTGATTAAGGATAAAATAGACCCAGCATTCTTTAAACATTTAAGTAACTTGCAGAAAGACATGACTTGGTCATATGTTGCGCCAAACTGCACAACAGATCGGTTTCTAGTGACGTAACATCTTCCTCAAGAACAATGCTGTGGTTCTGCATTTTAGCTCATGAATTAACTTTATTGTCAGAGCCGCCAGCTAATGCTTCTTGTTTTTTCGTCATCTCGGCTGAGGCACTTCTCTTTCGATTGCATTGTCACCGAAGACTGACACTGATTCCTGTTTATTCTTCGTCCTAACTATGACATTTCGCATTTTAGTGCAGCTAGCAGGCCGATAATTAATGGCGTTGTGTTTCGACCCCCTATATTACAAGGGGCAACAAACGATGTTTTCAACTAATCCGGAAGGTAATCAGCTACAAACGATAACGGGAACATGTTCAGCAAAAGCAGTGCAATGTCAGCTCCACCGAGTTTGATGATTAATTGGGGTTGCCATAGAAATCCAGTTTGACTGGTGTTTCGATGGAATTCATAGTCTGTTGTATGGTCGGAAGAAAAGTCTCGTTGTGTATAACGCGTGTTGTAGCAAGTTCCAGGCGGTAAGGTATGGGGTAGATTTCTAGTTTAATGGAGGTAGTGAAAGAGGAACTAAACGCTTCACAACTAGCATGCAGGTCGTTAAGTTGGCGATCTTCCTCCTCGATCAGCCCCGTGATCAAAGATCGTCAGTTCTGTGTCGGAGTAATCTTATGTGTTCCTTTCATTTGCATGCAATCCGCAAGGCGTTCTCGTACCCTTTTTCAATTCGCTTCATTTGTGAACGCTTGATAGATTCGTGTAACCGTAAAGTGAATGAAATCCCTTGGTCTTTCTGAATTTTTTGATTGTTTTTCTACTTTTTATGTCACACCAAATGTCACTTGCAATATTGGAATCAGGAATGGTACGTTTATACTGTGGGAGAGTTATAGTCCTGATACGATGGATTTGGTAATAGAACTGTTCCACTGCAGTGGCGGCGCTAGTGATGATTAAAATAAGCATCCCAGTTAGATGACCGGATTAGCTTTTGGAAATGCTCCCGGTCAACCCTTCGTATAGTGTGATGGATAGCTGGGTGGTGTTTGGTATTCATTTCCATGTAGGTGTTAAACCGTAGCACCATGTGATCCCTACCAGTGAGGTTGTCTAAGGTGTCACTTTGTGCGTCGGAATTCCACAGGGTGATTAGTAAAGCCAGTAGATTAGCAGACCTAGTTGTTATGCGATCCACTGCTTCCAGCTGTCAACTCTGACAGTTGACAAAAAATGCATATGGAATAATGAGGATGGTTGTGGTGACAAAGTAATATTTGTTAGATTGAAATCGTCTGTGATTATCTTTAGTCTGTGTGGTAACACCAGTATGAAATCAAACACCGAGGAAATAATAGCGATATCCCTGACTATCGCTTTTGAGGAATTTTAGATGGAACCGACGAGTAGTGTAGAAGTGGCTTCGATGACTAATAGACATTCTGATTTTGGGATATTGTTTAATTGTGAGTCGTCAAGAATCTCTGCCGTGAAGATTCGATAGAAATGTACCATGCACCATCTTCCCTTCTTTGTGCTACCATCCTTCCAAAAAGATGGTACTTGGGAACATCTAAAGTAGCATCTAATGTATCAGAGGAGCACGACGTTTCAGTGACGAAGGTTACATTTAATGCGCATAAGTGAGTAGGCATGCATAAAGATGTGAGTTGTTTATGGATCTTGCAGTAATTAGTAAACCTGAGCATGTGTTGTGCAGGAGAAGGTTTTCCGTGGGAACTTCGGATGATTTGGATTCAGAAATGGCAAGCAGTGCGGTTAAACAAAGGCGTTGAAGAAACAAAAATAAGGTGGTACCTGTACATTTTCCGTCTTCCTCAACTAGGAGGGTTTTTATCGAATTCTAGCGGTGCTACCGAAAGCTGCATAGTAACTGTGTGTTTGACTTCACGAAAGGAGTGTATCCCACGCTGCTGTCGGTTTGAGACTTAAACGTCGCAATTCATCCTTGTGTGGCACTATCTCACTCATAAGTGCTTGCGTTGAAGGTGAGTCAGCTCTATTGTCGTTTAATATACCTGTGATTTACGCTGGACGTGGTGTCAGCTGTCTGAATCTTGCTAGTCGATACGTAAAATGATTTCCTGTAATATCCCAGTTCGCTAGTTGGATTATCAACGATTTCTGACAGTGTTTTCGACTTGGCGAGGCAAGCATAGCCAAAGTTCTCGAAATCAACGTTCACCCATCATAAAACCGAGGGATAGTGTAATGAAGCTGAGCTTTATCTTGAGTATGTGACACGTTTTATTAATGCCATTCTTTAGAACATCATAACTATTCGCTACATCTGATAGTATTCGAATGCAAACGGGATGTATATTTGCCGAGATTATTCGTATCTCAATTGACACTTCTCTATAGACGTTCAACCTGAAAAACCAAAAAGCGGGATCCACTTCCATAACTGGAGGAACTGTCAAAGTAGCTAACTGAAGAGTCTGTTTGTCATCACAGTAAGTGAACGAGTAGCCAATGTCAACAAGAGACACCTTAGAACTTGACTGGAACATTAGTAGAGATATCACAGGTTACCAAGACAATAATGAAACCTACTCACCGGTTTTCACCGATTCAACGGAGTGTCTGGCTCACGCTAATGTGTTTGATGTGTGTGACTAGTTACCGTCGAGTATCGTTTCCTGGTATTTAGGCAGAGTCTCTGTGGTACCAGGGCGGATGGTTATTGAGAGAGGCAGAGCACATCGATCGGATGTTATGCTAACAAAAGAAGCACGAGTGCGTAGCACATGTTGCAGTCTTGTGGTTGATCTAGCCGTGGCAATTTGTGGTGCTGCTCCCGGTCTAGGCAAATATATTCAACTTTCAGGTCAGCTTTCCTCGATGACTACAGGTGTGTGATAAGCCGATGATTGTACGTATGATGTTATGCGACAGATTCAGAGGATCTGCAAAAGTCTCCAGAATTCTACAATCCGTTTGGACAGCTGACAGTGATGGGAAATTCTCGAAATTTGGAACAGGTGCATTCCTTAATGTTCACTTACCTGGCCGATTCTTATTCTGTATTAGACATCAGAATTCCGAACGAAAGGAGCCTTCATATTATTTTATGCTGATGTTTGTATATGATTATAATTTGCAATTATAAATTTCCCTTTGCGGCCAACGAATCCGACATTTGTTTTGGAGAGTTCTAAAAGCAGTCGTCTTCGGTACTTTTGGCCACAGCTGGTTGTAATGATGCTTGTATATCAGATGTACTAGAACCTTGCTGAGCATCGGACTCAGAGGTTGTTGAATCCACAGGGAGTGTAACTACTTCTTCTAGCGGTTCCTTGTAGATGGGTGATGGTAATGCAACCAATTTATCAGTTTCTTCATTTTGCTGATACACCTTTGTTTCCGAAGTGGATGGTATTAATGCTGTATACGGTGGTATGCGGGGAAATTTTCCCATTGTGTGGTACGTTCTTAACCATTCCTCGTATAACGGGGGATTTCGCTCGCGAAGACGTTCAGACATAACAAATAGTGGAAAGGTGATGTTCGAGTATTTTTTCATAAAGTTATCATGACGCTCTGACAGCCGTCTTCTCTTTTCTTTTCTGATGGCCTGGAATTTCGCAACGTCTGCTCGTGTGATAGCTCTCTTCATTGTGGATGCGAAGGAACGTTTTACTCTCTCCATTTTGTTGTTCGGTAATCACCTTTTATGTTGGACTTCAGTCCAAGGTTATATGGCGAATACCAAGAGATGCAATTCGCAACTCCGACAGGATGACCTACTTTTCGATTGGTTAGTGTTTGACAAAACATTTTGTGGCCAGTTGTCCTATCTGCCACCGTCGTATTCTCAGCTCCACAATGAATACTGACATCGGATCAGAAGAGTGAAGAAAATGAAAAATTTCCGACTTATAGGGTCACTGGTCTGATGAGCCTATTTCTACGCTTTCACTGTTACAGCAGAGTATGCATAGAACTAGTTGATTCACCGAACTGGCCCACGGTCCGCACAGCGTGCGAAAGGACTTGCTCTGGTTATACCTTTGCTCTAAAATCGCGTCTGGATTCAAAGGAATACAGTAGACAGCGGGAAAAGTTATTCCGGATCACGAGATCAATGAATAGGGGTTTCTCAGCTACACTTAAACCGATACGAAGAGTGAAAGTTCGGCGAATACTACGTGGTCAGACGTGAATAGAGTCGCTTGCTTTGATCTTAATTTGAGGCTCTTAAAGCTGGTACTTTAAGAAATAAACCTAAGTAAACGCGAACGTTTTTCGTTTTGTTATAAGCTTTGCATATCTAACTTGATGAGAAACGCAACTCTCTGAATTTCAGATTCATACATTTTCAAGCTTAGTCGGAATACTTCTCATAATTTTCTTTAAGGATTTCTTATAGCAAGCAAGTTTGTCTCACTTGGCTTAGAAAATTTCCTCTGTTATTTCAAATAGTGACAGCTCGAACGAGGAGTCGGAATCAAACACGCTCTTACAATGCAGCGTTCAGTAGCACCGCTAGAATTCGATAAAAACCCTCCTAGTTGAGGAAGACGGAAAATGTACAGGTACCACCTTAGGTTTGTTTTAGAACCCCTTGTTTATCTGCTTTGCTTGCCATTTCTGAATCCAAATCCTCCGAAGTTCTCACGGAAAACGTTCTCCTGCATAACACATGCTCACGTATACTAATTACTGCAAGATCCATAAACAACTTGCATCTTTATGCATGCCTACTCACTTAAGCGCCCCACATGTAACCTTCGTCACTGAAACATCGTGCTCCTCTGATACATTAGATTCTACTTTAGATGTTTCTAAGTACCATCTTTTTCGGAAAGATCGTAGCACAAAGGAAGGGATGTTAGTGCATGGTACATTTCTATCGAATCTTCACGGCAGAGATTCTTGACGACTCACAATTAAACAATATCCCAAAATCTGAATGTCTATTAGTCATCGAAGCCACTTCTACAATACTCGTCGGTTCCATCTAAAATTCCTCAAAAGCGATAGTCAGGGATATCGCTATTATTTCCTCGGTGGTTGATTTCGTACTGGTGTTACCACACAGACTAAAGATAATCACAGACGATTTCAATCTAACAAATATTACTTTGTCACCACAACGATCCTCATTATTCCATATGCATTTTTTGTCAACTGTCAGAGTTGACAGCTGGAAGCAGTGGATCGCATAACAACTAGGTCTGCTAATCTACTGGCTTTACTAATCACCCTGTGGAATTCCGACGCACAAAGTGACACCTTAGACAACCTCACTGGTAGGGATCACATGGTGCTACGGTTTAACACCTACATGGAAATGAATACCAAACACCACCCAGCTATCCATCACACTATACGAAGGGTTGACGGCGAGAATTTCCAAAAGCTAATCCGGTCATCTAACTGGGATGCTTATTTTAATCACCACTAGCGGCGCAACTGCAGTGGAACAGTTCTATTACCAAATCCATCGTATCAGGGCTATACTCGTCCCACACTATAATCGTGCCATTCCTGATTCTAATAATGCAAGTGATATTTGGTGTGACATAAAAAGGAGAAAAATAATCAAAAATTCAGAAGGACCAAGGGATTTCATTCACTTTACGGTTACACGAATCTATCAAGCGTTCACAAATGAAGCGAATTGAAAAAGAGTACGAGAACGCCTTGCGGATTGCATGCAAATGAAAGGAACACATAAGATTACTCCGACACAGAACTAACGATCTTTGATCACGGGGTTGATCGAGGAGGAAGATCGCCAACTTAAGGACTTGTATGCTAGTTGTGAAGCGTTTAGTTCTTCTTTCACTACCTCCATTAAACTAGAAATCTATCCCATACCTTTCCGCCTGGAACTTACAACAACACGCGTTATACAAAATGATATTTTTCTTCAGACCATTCAACAGACTATGAATTCCATCGAAACACCAGTCAAACTGGATTTCTATGGCAACCCCAATTAATCATCAAACTCGGTGGAGCTGACATCACACTGCTTTTGCTGAACATGTTCCCGTTATCGTTATTAGCTGATTACCTTCCGGATTAGTTGAAAACATCGTTTGTTGCCCCTTGTAATATAGGAGGTCGAAACACAATGCCATTAATTATCGGCTTGCTAGCTCCACTAAAATGCGAAATGTCATAGTTAGGACGAAGAATAGACAGGAATCAGTGTCAGTCTTCGGCGACAATGCAATCGAAACGAGAAGTGCCTCAGCTGAGATGACGAACAAGCAAGAAGCATTAGCTGTCTGCTCTGACATTAATGTTAATTTATGAGCTGAAATGCAGAACCACAGCATTGTTCTTGAGGCAGATGTTACATCACTAAAAACCGGTCTGCTGTGCACTTTGGCGCAACATACGACCAAGTCTTTGCTTTCTGCAAGTTACTTAAATGTTCAAAGAAAGTGAACTTACACTACAAAATGTTGGGTCTATTTTATCCTTAATCACGACTAACACTCGGGAACGTTTACACAGAGCAAGGAAAGTGATCGTGTTTATCACACCTGACCGATTGAGCATAGATTAAAGTCAGAAATATTTTGCTAGCCGCATGCAACTAGAGTTGCTCTAACTCAATATGCCTCAGATTCCAGAAGAAGTCAACAGTGAGGTAATGCTCCAACCTCCTTAATTTCCCGGATGAGCCAATGGCTGAACATTTTACATATAGCAAACGGCTCATTGCAATACGAGCTGTGCTTAAGAAGATTCTGATCAGAAGCGACCGAACGCCACTACAAATGCGGTTTTCACGTAAGACGAATCATTCAGACGCTCGTATTTCTCACACCGACGCCAATCATACTGGCAACGATGTGCGCCTTGACAGATCACGAACACCGTCCCTATCTAAAGATGCTCACAAGCATCCCGTACACCTACCGACACACTAGGTGTAAGTGTATGATAATGCTGACCCCGTCTGTGCAGAACAGACTGGACCCAGGCATGTTATAAGTATTATTGAAAATTCCGCAGAAATTAATGCAAGATCATGGACCCTTTCTGCACTCAACTACTTCGTATATTATGTGGCACCAACTCAGAACGAGAATGCAAAATTTGAGAGTATTAATAATGAGAATTTAAATAAGCTACTTCTTACTGCATACCGGGACAACTAGCACTCATCCCAACTAAGCATAGATGGCAACGTGGAGTGCCGTATCCCGACAACATTTATTGGAAATGCCTAACAACGGATAACATTTAAACAACCTGCCCTAAACTATAAGAGCCGCTCATTAAATCAGATGAGGAAAACTCTACTCTGTCGTATCTCAAGATATGCTGTTGGAACCGATTCGGGGGTGAATAATAACCACTCGGACTACTACCAACCGTCAGAAAGGATTTTGCTACCTACCTCTCCGAACCGGAGATGGCAACCTCCCAAATGGGAGAACGCAGTAACTCATGACAGGCCTGAAGATACGTATGGGGGCATATGCCCTCATATTTACACTATCTTCCAACGGAGGTCACAGTTTCTAGCCTACCAACAACCGCCACTTCCTCCTACGGAATATTCTCACTACTTGTCAAGTGACCCTAGTTTAGGCGGGCATCCGCCACCGAAAACAGGGCTTCCACGTACGACCATACAAAACCCAATGATGATCCAATTGTTCCAGTATTTTCTTCGCTGGAGCCAGGACATCGAAACACACGACAAAAGTCAGTTGTTTCATCAAGGCACGGCACCCACGTCCATGAAGACAGAGGGTGCGATGTAACCACATTTGTGTATCCTACCTCACTCCTTTTGCTTAAATCTAGCGTTATAAAAATTCGTTCGCTGTTACCAAAACTGGATATCCTTACAACGTCTGTGTTTCTTAAAACCACTCACATTGTTTGTATCACCGAAGCATGGTGTACATCAGCTGTAGGTGTCTTTCGAATGGATATTTTGTGTTAGCAAATGTTTCGGAAAGATCATCTGCACAGACGCGGCGGTGGATGTGCCATCCATATAAGCAATGGCATAACAGCAATCGCAGGTGACCAGTTAGCCTTCAACGAATTGAATGATTCATTATGGTTGACTTTTCAGCTTATGATCGGCTACTGGGCTGTATTTATAAACCGCCTGATGCCACTCTTCATGAATCCCAGCAGTTAGTGTCTACCATTAACGCTCCGCACAAGTACGAATTCCTATGCGGACATTTCAATCTATCATATATAAACTGGATAGCGCACAGGCTTACAACAACTGCGGAACTTGCGGAAATGATACCATATGTAGGCATCAATGGTTGGACTCAACACGTTAAACAACCTACTAGGTTAGATAACATTCAAGATCTGGTTTTCAGCATGGGTATTCTATCTGTTTGTGCATTAATTGAAAACCCACTAATAGGATGTGGCCACAGTACGGTGCTCTGTAGAATGAGTATCGGGTCATCTATAAAGACCAGAGAAAAAATAGGAAGCCAGTAGCCAGAATACACCCTATTGATTTGGACAAATTTTACAAGCTGCTTGGGAGCATGCATTGAGTCCGATACTTCTCCACAT